TTTATTTATCAAGCATTATCATTTATTATCCAATTATTTCCACATTATCAGGTATGCTATTTCTAAACCATTTTTGTTTACATTCAAGCATTTAGTAAAATTATTAAAAGAATAAATCATCAATAATTAATACAGCATACTAATAATGCAATTTACCAATTGAAAAAAAAAAATCATCATTTCACATATAATACTTCCAGTATTGTTAGATGAAAAAAAATTTCCTTGATATATTATCTGACAAGAAACAATCTTTCTTAATAACAAATTAATGTCTTTCGTTTAAACAAAAACAAAGAAATGTGAAGTGTGATTTTTTTTCCTTGTCAAATTTTAATTTTTAAAATTTTTTATGGCTTCCAAAAAATTTTATATAATCCTAAAGAGCATTTCATCAATATTTTTTTTTTTGCAGTAATGATATTTTTGGCATCATTGATCATTTTGCAAGTGGAATGTGCTGCTCAAAAAAAGCAAACATATGGAATGACAGATTCGATGCGTAGCATTGCACCACCAATGATGCAAGCACAATCAATTCCGATAGCACAAGCTTATACTAAGAATTCACCTATTGTACCATTATCATATCAGAATGCACAGCAACCAACTGATACTGTACCTGTTGAAGCATTACCAGCCGCAGAATTAAAAGTTAATGCTAAAGTAATCATTAATTTCTAATTTTTATGAAATATTAGAATCTAATATTAAAATATTAGAAAAAAAAAGAAAAAAATATTAGAATATTGGAAAGGAAAAGAAATTAGAGTATTAGAAAAATTTGCATTTTTTTGAAATATGAACAAAAAAAAAAAAAAAGATAATTGAAAATTTTTTTGTCAAACTTAATTATAATCAATAAGCATTTGATAATCATTCGGATTATAGTAATACATTAATGCTATAATAATGCACAAGCTTATATTATACGATAAGATAGTTGTTATGAAATGTAGTATTTTAAAATAAGATAATAAAAAAAATGAAATAAGAAAAAAAAAGCAAATAGAATTAAAAATTGCAAAAATAGACAAAAATCAATAAGTTTTTATAAAATTAAGGAGTTATCATTAATTGAAATAAATAAAAGAGAAAATTCAAAAAAATAAATGAATTCCTTGTTATTCATGAGACTGTTTTTTTTCATATATTTAAATTGTTTTTATTTTGAATTAATCAAAATTAAACTCTATTTTTTTTTGTCCTTTTAAATTGTTTTAATTTTAAATTGCACTTTTAAACTTTTAAACTGTATTTTAAACTGTTTTTATTTCGAAGTTAATCAAAATTAAACTCAATTTTTTTTGTACTTTTCTTCGAACACATGGAAAGTTAGCTTCATAATTTCGTAGTATTAAATATAGAAAATGACTGACCGATTATTATTCAATTACATTTCCTGTTACTAATTCATCAGTCTTATGCAATGTATTCATTTCCTATTATTCATTAATCATCATTTGAATTTGCATCATTTCCAATCTATTCCTATCATAAACTAATCACTATTACTCTGTTTCATTTGAAATTCTTGAATTTAATCATCCTTTTTTTCTTTCATTTTAAATCCTATTTTTGTAACTTTAGAGAAGTGCCTCGAAAGGGAGTGTAGAACTGGAAGGATCACGTGAAAAGGAAAAAGATGGTGGTATTACAAATGGAAAAGGAGGAAGAAAAAGTGGAGAAGGAGGAAGAGAAAGTGGAGAAGGAGGGGAAGCAAGTGGTGAAGGAGGAGGAGGAGAAGGAAGAGGAGGAGGGGGCGGAGGGGGAAGAGGGCGAGAAGGAGGAGGAGGAGGAGGAGGAGGGAGAGGAGGGGGAGGATGGGGAAGAGGGCGAGGAGAAGAAGGAGAAGGGAGAAGAGGGCGAGAAGAAGAAGGAGAAGNGGGAAGAGGAGGAGGAGGAGGAGGAGAAGGAGAAGGGGGAAGAGGAGGAGGAGGAGGAGGAGAAGGAGAAGGGGGAAGAGGAGGAGGAGGAGGAGAAGGAGAAGGAAAAGGAGGCGATGATGCTGATGAAAAAAGAGGAAAAGCAGATGTTGGGCTCGATGAATGTCCTGACCTGACTCCTGATATCCTCAAAAATATCCTTAATGATGGCTGTTAGATGAATGATGCAAAAATCTATTTATCATGTAATTTTAGTAGTCAATTTTATAGCCTAATTTTCGTAGTCACTTTTACTGATAAATGTATCAATGCCTCTTTCATTAAAGTAAAATTTGTGACTTTTTTTTTTTCACAACAAAAGCAACAATACTATCCTCCCATTCTTCCATATTTAGTTCTCTGGGCTTCGCTTTTTTTTTTTTATTGCTTTACTTTCACAAACTTCTCATTATTTACTGATTAATTAATTAACTTTGGTTTAATAACCTAGTTATTTTCTTTTACGTCTACAATAATACAATGAGTGCATTACAATAATTAGAATTGGAAATAAGAATTAAATTTAGAAATTATATGTGATGAGAAAATCATATTCTCATTTTTTTTTCTCCGTAGCAGCTTCGTATATTTATCGATCTCGTAAATGTTCAGGAAATTCCGCAACTTTATTTTAGCTATTTCCAGATTTGAAAAACAAAAAACGATATCCTTTGCGAGAAAAAAATGCTTTACGACGACGACGAATAAAAAATCTTGTAAGCGATTCATGTTATGATATTATCAAATGTGACATAACTGTTTCACCATATTTGTTCCCAGTGATTTTTTATTTTACGCGTATAGAGAAAAAAAAAATTTATAAATGCTAAGCCGAATGATAATACATCGTCCGACAGATAAACTTTACTCATTGCAAGCAAGCTATTCAACAGAAGAAAAAATCTATTAAGAATTGAAATTAGTGATAACAGAAAAAAAAGGAAAATTTTCGAAATTTCATGTTCGTTAATCATATAAAATAATAAAAAGTATGTGTCTTTATGAAAATATTTTTGTTCACAAAATTCACTTCATTTATACACATACATAAGATGAAAGGTGAAAAACTTTTCACTTCGCAATTTCAAACTTCAAAAAAAAGAGAAACAAGTAACATAGTAAATAAAATGGTAAAGATGAAATGACAAATCAGAACGGTTTGCATATTTCAAAAAAAAAAAGGAAAGAAGTGTAACTCTCCGTAGCAAGGAGAAAATTTATTTTTTCCCGTTTTCATGTTTTGAAATGACAATGTCTCAAAAATCCAAAATGACAGTAATGAATTTACAATTACACTTGGAGAATCAACTAACATGATAAGATCAATGGGTATGTAACATATTAAGGTAAGGACCGCTTTTTAGTAAAAGAAAAACAAGTAGTGGATTAATACAATGAAAGCTTCTTTTTGTTTTATTATAGTTTTAACAAGACTTAAACGCTCATTAAATCTATGATAAAACAAAATTTTATATAGTTTGCGCTAGGAGGAATCAATTCCATGAAAATATATTTCCTTTATCTGCAGAAAATTCCAGTTGCTTATATTTAAACATAAAATACACATTTTGCAAAAAGCAACTGGTCAATAGCTAATAAGAACTATCCTGTAGCAATAGTAATTGTGAAAAACTAAACAGGTTCAAAGAACGTTCAATAAAAAAGAGAAAAAAAAAACTTTACATAAGCTTGAAAAGCTGTAGATTTGTAAGGAGTAGCAATAACAGTGGTGATAGTAGAGTAGCAGTAACAAATGCAGTATAAATAGTATTAGCAGAACTAATACTATTAATATAAGTAAATCATTAATTACCTGCCAATTTTAAAAAATCAAAATTTACAGCAATTTTCTCGTTACTACGACAGAAGAAATCATCCATCAATAGGCATGTCTAAATTAAAATTCGATAAGGAAGTCCAGTATGAATATGGAAGGAAAAAAGTGAAATAATATGAACACAAATTTTATAAAAAAAAAAAAAATTATAAGGAGAAAAACTTCGTACGGAAAAAAAATTCCACGTACGAATAATAATAAAATTAACTACGGAGAAAAAACAAGCATAAAATTGGAAAATACAATAACCACTGATGGTTTCCTGAGCAGGAACGACTTCAGCAAAAACAACAAATTCATTCGCAAAAGATGATCTAAAAATATTTCGAAAGCCTCAGGAATGCATGCTCTCCTCGACCGACTGTATACAGCTGGTGCTAATTGATCGATCATTAAATCTTGCAATGGTACTCACTGTTCAGAAAGTATTGAAAGAAATATATATATACATTATACCCCCGATGATTCAGTTGAGAAATTCGAATAAACAAACTTTTGAACCATCAGGAAAGAAAATCTTGTAATAATTGTAAAATTTCCTCAAAATATATCAACTGTCCTATTCAATTCGATTCAACAAAAAAGAAAAAAAAGAAAGGAAAAAGATCTAGATGATACTTTGCTTATACAATCAATGAAACTTCTCATACAATGACCAAATTTACTGAAGCAATAACTTTTACATCGTTCCTATTTAGCTAGCATTTATTCATATGGTGGTGGTATATCCTCCATTTCAACACCCGTCGATGTGGATTCAACTGATGAATCATCTTCTGGACGATTCATCCCAGTAGATAGTGAAATTTGCCAGGAATGCGGTGCACCTACAGGCGCCATTGGTTGTCGAACACGTGAATATCTGTAAAACGCGGTCAAATTTTTAACAGTAAATAACTTCCTATGAATCTTTGCTGAATTTTTAGATGAAGAAACTACGTTTCCAGGAAAAAAAAATCGCAAATAAAAATGAAATCTTACTGCTGTGAAGCTGTATTAGCTGAATCGTGTTCTGAATATGGTGGCGGAGGTGGTAGACCGACATTAGCTAGAAGCCTCTCGCTGAACGACATAGATGTGCCCAGAGTTAAAGCTTCATCAGAACATCCTTTAAAAATTTTTCTTTGCAAGACGCAATGAACTGTGTATAGCATTTGTATTCATGCAAATGTATCCGAACTTCATCATAGCACTGTGTTACAGAACTCCATCATTAAATGTCAATTTGTGACAAAGTTTAAATAACCTGTTTTCAAAGATAACTTGGATTCTATAGGAGAGACAATATTTTTTGATGGATCAACATTCGAGGATGTTTCAGCTCTACTATAATCTGCTGAAGACTTTTCCGCTGATCTCGAATGTTCTGCAGAAGCATATGGTAAGCGTCTTTCACTTGAAACTCCTGGGACGTCCATCGACATATCCTAAAAATGTTTTAAAACCATACATTGGTTGCAAATCATGAAAGAACAGCTATAAATAAAAATGAAGAAGTCATAGCATAAGGTATAACATTGCCAAAGACTGCAAAAAAGATATATACTTCATGAAAAAAAGCAACATCTGTACCACATAAATTTAGAAAAATTTAACCTCACTAATAAGCATCATTTATCGACTAAAATTATAATGTACTGCAAATGTTTGGATCTCCATATTTTTTTAAAATAAATTATACTTACTCCGAAAAAAGCATCCCTAGCAAAACTATCACCATCACTTGAAGAACTACCGCCGTTTGAAGTAACTGAGGACGGAATATTGAGTTTCGAAAGGAAATCTTGAAATTTTTCATAGATTTCAATAAAACTTTCCATTCCTTCAGCCTCACTCGATTTATCTAAATCATCGCGACGATTGTCGTAATCATAAATGTCCGATTTAGCCGACTGAAAATAATTTGAATTTATGAAGCAAAAAGAAACTTGAGAAATTATTCGACAAAACTGTCGGTCCTTTGTAGATATTGGAAAAACGATATTGCTACAAGCCATTTCTATCTTTGAAATTATGAATTAATAACAATGAAGATCATTGTTCACAAGTTCGCAATGCTGCACTTAATTGTCCTATTCGATACAAAAGAACATAGAGTGATACTCTGTTCGTATAATAAGTGAGCCAGAGACTTAATAATTTTAGCATTCCTGCCTCATACCATTGATAACGTAAATATTCTTAGACTTTTAATTCCATACGAGAAAATTGTATAGAGAAGATTTTTAACTTACATTGGCAGCGAGTTGCAATTTAAACCAGTCCTTCATTCTGTACAAATTATTGCGAGCTTGTTCATCTTCCACAAGAATCTTAATTATGGAAAAATTAGAAGTACTAAAAGGGACAAAAAAAAAAGTCCTTTCTCTTTTACACTCAAAAGAGATTCTAACAATAATGACACCAAAAAAAAATTCAATGAAGTTTTTTTCCACTTAATGTTTTCATTACTTCAAACTATCTCTATTTCAATAATGGAAGGAAAAACTGCAAACAGAGAGATAAGTTATATTAAAATTTACATAGCAAAACAAACTGTCACCGTAACTTCTAAAGAGTAACCTTAACAATGTCTTCATTATCAGAAGCGATATCGATTAAAGTTCGCAACAAATGATATGCTTTCCATGAGTAGATATCCTTCTGAACGAACATTATTGCAATAAAGCCCTTGTAATTTTGAGGACCATTTTCTGGAAAAAAAAACAAAAATTCGCATCCAATCACTGACAAATCAAACATTCATATGTTAAATTTTGTAATTAAATGGAAACATCCGGAATTGAATTCTGATCAAATAAATAATCAATCAGCCAAATAATCAAATAAATAACGTCGGCGGCACAGAATACTTCATTGAATTTTTCAGTTTCTGACTTCTAATTTTAAATCTTGCCTAAGTTATACACACAAATTTCTGAAAAATCAATGGAAACAATGAATTGCAACTTACCGAAACCTAAAAGTACCAAACGCTGTCGATCCCTTTTTACTGAATCATTAATTTCAAGAATATTTTCTATAATTATTGTCGCGTTTTTCACTTCATTCGGTGTAAATAGACACTTAAAAACGAATAATTTAACAAGGAATTAATGCAAATAAACTAAACCTCCCTCTTCTTTTTCCTCGGAACACAATAAATGAAGCTAATGATCTAAATTATCCAATGCAACAGGATTTTATGGAATCTTTGAAAAGAGAAATAAAGACTCCTGGCTCTTTTTATATGTTTTCAATGCTAAAAGTTACTTAAAATTGCACAAATTATGTACCTCAAACGAAAAATGATAGAGAAGAATCTTCGTAAAGTTAAGGTTCTCCCAACACAAGTACAATATTGTATTCAGTGCAACTGCGCGATCAGTAGGTAATTCGATCAACTGCTTCAGCAATCTAAAGCTTGGCATAGTTTAAGTGAATTAAAACTTAATCTCATGTTTGTGATAAGTTATTTTATAAATTAGTGAATTAGTTGGTTCTCCTTAAACCTGTTACGAATATGGCATAAGAAAGTTAACTAAATTAAGAACTTCTGCAAAAGGAAATACCTGTTAACAAAAAGTGGTTCATCCATCCACTGAGCAACTTCTTCTGGTGCTTGAATAAGACCACCAGTTGTAATAGCATATGGATTCAAATTAGCATTCTGCAAAACAAATAAACATTAATTTAATAATATTAAGGATTTATTTGGGGGTACATGTTCTATAATTTTAAAAAGAAACAATTAGAAAACATCAAAATCAGCCAGAACATAAACTAGTTTATGATTCTGTTTATTTCTCACCTCTCCTTGCCATTCAAATTTGCAAGTTCTGAGAAGTAATGAAATAACTTCATATAGTTTTGAACTGTCTTGATAAATCACTTTGATATGATAATCATCTCGTGAAATGAGCACCAACAATGCATGCAAGGCACCTTTTCGCACTAGCTGTCTTTTCTAAAATGATCCTATCCTTAAAGTGAACAATAGGATATTCAAGAGGATTTAATAAACAGCCAACCGATTTAATTTATTAAGGCAAAGAATTGTTAACATGCTTGAATAAAACTACCAGTTGTAATAATATATGGATTCAAATTAGCATTCTGCAAAGCGTTACCGATTGAAACTATTGTCCGAAAATTCAAGCAAAGTAAGAGCATGGGAATGGAAAACAAAGAAAAGCATAGATACCTGCTCTAAACCCGACAGAGCATAAAGATTGAACAGAGCAATATACTGGGTAGGATGAGTGCTGAATTCGGTGAAATAATTGCGAGGAATGATAAGTAACAAAGTAATAAACATATCAGATATTGTATCACCCGCCTTATAAACGGCTTCAATTTTGAAGTCAGGGCAGTCTCCTGCAACTGAAATATTAGAATCATTAATATTTATGTTTCAGAAACTGTTGCCTAAACACTCGCGAAAAATATTTCATCTTAAATTTTTTTTTCAAATTCATACAAATTATAAGACATTAGAAATTACTGCCATAATGTAAGCTAGGAATTTAACCACAACATTAATGGTATTAGCTCGAAATGCACACAGTTTAGAATATTTTCTTTCTAACAAAAATTAGCACCCAGCGTTTGAAACTTACGCATATATGGCCGAATAACATCGAAATAATCATGCGCTGCTGCATTCAAAAGTGTTACAAATACATTTGTAAAAAAGTATCGCACCTAAAATCAAATATAAAGGAACTTGAAATTCAAAATGATAGAAACCCAAAAGCAATACTTCCAACATATTTTGACAAACATGTGTTCAGCTATGTATTTCAACAAACAGAACTATCTGCTTAAACTAATTAAGATTGCGAAGCTTGGTAAAGCAATGCAACCACATGTCACCTAATGATATGTTCTACAATTGCTTTTTAGAAATCACACTAAACAAAAAAATTTTTTTCTTTCTTTGGTAGTTTTTTTTCTCTTTAGTTAAGAATTTGATAATCTCTATATTTTGTCATAATTTTGAAATTTTCAGTTTTTAAAGTTTCGATATACTAACATCAGTCGAAGGTGCCGTAAGAAGATACAAAACAACCATTTTAGGTTGAAACATAATATTACAAATGAACCATCCACGCGAGGATTTTGATGATGCAAACAATATTTCATAAGTTTTCTGCCACTCTGTCACATTACCAATACTATAAATTATTGTCTTATTTCCAAAAGCATAAAGAGCAAATGAAATAAAGAATAAAGAATAGAAATTTTGCAAATCCCGTGCGAAAAAGAAAAAATGTGAAGAGCATGAACAAGATGTATGAAGCAAATAAATCATCTGATACTTTTCCACTGATTGATTAAATCTCTCACCGTAATGTTTTCTTTGCTCGAAGACCAGTAGAAAATAGAAACTTGCTCAGCAGTTTTGTCGTTAACAAATAATAATCACTGCAAATGATAAATGTACAACAGCTATCTTTTGCAGCATATCAGCTTCCATAAAGTTTAATTGAAAACTAAGATTTCGAATGCTTTAAAATGTTTATAAAAAGAATACTAATTAATAAATTCTTACTCCTGAAGTTCGACATTTATCTGACTAATCATCTGAACTGCTCGTGAGCATATATCCCGAATGAATTGGAAGTAATTTGTAGTATACCTGAAAATTTGTTACATTGGACATTAAAGTTTTTACTTTTAAGGTTTCGGCCTTAACTTCTACATGTAAATAGTAAATAGATAAAGTTTACTAGTCGTTGCAGACAAAACTTCTCACTTGATTTTTTTCGATTCGAAAAAATAATTTATATCTCAAAAATTTGATCTCTTCTAATATTCCACTAGAACATCTCTAAACAATAATCTAATCTGGTTTCTACTTTATGATAGCTAGTAAACCAACTATATTCTCGAACTTGAATCGATGTAACGATTCAGATTTGGGAATAAATCGGTATACCTTCGCATCCATGATTTAACATAATAAGTTTTTATGTCATCAAACTTTATTCTCTAACTTGACTATTTGTCTGTAATTATTGGCACATAAAAAAGCTTCCCGTGTACTTAAATGTACATCATGACATCTGAAATATGGCATGGAACATGGCGTATTGAAATACAACATATCATCCAAAAAATGGTCGGCATAATCGGTAATAAAGTCAAAGATATAGATAAAAAATTGAGTCTCTGTATGAGCTTAAAATTAATCTATCAAAAATTTTCAACTTACTGTGAACGTTCATGCATAGCATAAGTATTTTTGCCTCGAACCAAAGCTTCCAGTTTTGGAGGCATATGTCGGATACGACTGCCTGAAATAAATGTGTAATGCTTTATCGCGTATTTCATATTCATTCATGTTATACTTTTATTCCTCTGTTTTATGTATTGCAGGCATTTTATTTTTTTTTTTACGTTGCATATATAAAAATATATGTGTTCATTCAAAATCCTGTTGAAAAAAAAGACAACTTTTCTTATCTGTTGCATATCCAATTATTTGTTGTTTTTAAAAAGCTTAGTAATAATGGAATGCAGCATAAGCGAAAAAAAATTTCAGTAACTGCATGACAGTTTCAATCAACTATAAAATTTACGGATCTATTCTCTTGATAGTAGAAGCATTCGTCAAATGTTACAACTTTAAGGTAGTATCTCATTTTAGATAAATTAAGTTAAATAGTGCAAAAAAAAGCAAACTTACTAATAGACATGGCACTTATTTTCTTATCCAAACTAAACGGACTATTGGAGGACGAATGTGATGGCTGCGTAGAAGAGGAAGTCGTTAGTTCCGCTGATGATGATGTTACAGAAGGAACAGTTGTTGATGTCTATAAAAAGATTACTTGAAATAGAAAAACATCACTTAAACTGGATCCATTTCTTCGTTTCGTAAAGACCATGATAGTGATGGAGTAGTAAAGGTGAAGGAGCACAAAAGAGTTAAGCTAGACATTCCAAATCATCAGTAGCTTTGTCCAATGAGTTAATTCAAATGACTTGATAGCTCACAAAACATAACATGGATAATCTTATCATAATCTCTTACATTCTCACCAAGCAGTGTTATTACACATCTCTCAAAAAGTTGAACCTATTCTGGATTAGTAATTCATTCATCTCAACAAAAAACGTCGATAAAGTCTCGAAAATTTCAAAATAAATAAGTAACTTAACATGAATGTGAGATTTCGAAAATTCATGAAACCTTTTCGTAAATTAGTAAATAAGCATTCCACCAGCGCTTCTGTCGTTTTTTCTGATAGTGGCTGCTGTTCTCAAATCCTTCCGCAATATACTCACCACCAAACCACATATTTTGCATTTCCTAAAAACGTTAAGAATTAAAAAAAAATCAATCAGTCTTGTTAATTTTCTATGCATCCAAAAAAACTGTGAACATCGTATAAAATCACATTCACATCAATATTGGAAAAATACTAATAATCATGGCTTTTAAATTTTTCAATCTAATATTTAGGTATCCCTGTCTTACGAGATTTACTTTATCACAAAAAGCTGAGGAATTTTGTAAAAGAGACAGAATCTGAGGATACTACTTTTCACTAATTTTAGGACTCAAAAACCTATGAATTTAAATACCTAAATAAACAATGAGAAAAAACAGTAAAGCAGAGGATTTTTTTTTTGAGTCCTAAAATTTGTGAAAAATTATGCAATAATCTAAAAACACAAAACAAGGACATACTGACTTTTAACTAATGTGATCAGAGTTTATTGTTTATCGTACTATTTAATCAAAATTCACCTCTTTACTCAAATGCCATTCGGTTACATCAACATCATCGAATTTGAACCAACGACCACCATCTTCTTCGGAACGAATGAATGAATAATAATGGCCACCATTCGCTTGTCCGGAATGTACAATCACTCCACGTAGGCTGTATTTCGTATTACTGAAATCATTCGTACTGAATTTTTTACAACTACTACCCAGCATTACTTAGTAAAATTATAAAATTAAGAACAACGAACTTATCATCTAGCTTAACTTCTGACGTGGACGTGCCTGCAGTACCATAAACATCGTTTGTTTCCGGTGATGCTCTTTCAGATGTGCCTGCAATTATAAATTGTCACAGTCAATAACAAGCGCAAAAATTACAATTAAATTAAAATAAATCCTAGCACGAAAAGGAAGAAATGAACGCAAGTGAAAGTTAGTAAACTAATTCTCCCAATCTCGGTTATATTGTTGAGATAACTGCTTGCTTTTTTACACATATTTTTTCCTGAAAATCCATAGAAATATTTTCCATGAAAATATTCAGAAAAATTCACCTCGGCCGCTATCAGTTACTGACGAATGCGTCAACTCTTCCTTCGAAATTTCTCCTGCAAACAAACAGTAAGGACGTATTTGGGGAAAAAATAAGTATTTAGAAAAAATAAGCATGATAAGGTTGGCTGTATTTTGAAATCCACATTATTAGCAATGAGCATTTAAGGGCTGTTCATGAACATCCGAAACAATGATGAATGCAGAGGTTTTATAGTGACAAGACTAGGAAAGGATATGTAGAAGCAAACTGTTACTGAATCAAACTATGCCGTAAACGTCCCCGAAATTTGTCCATTATGTCGAATTAAGAAAAGCAGAACAATCAATTTTCACCTTGACTAAAAATATAATGAATCTCGTTGTACTTATTTAGCATTGTAAAACGTACCATCGGTTTGAGCTAATCCATGAACGGTAAAGGGCATCATATCAAGATCAATCGGAAATTCGAAATAATCATTATATTTTTGTGATGAATCACGTTCCCAATCAAAATCAAATCTTTTCAACTGTATTGTCAAATAAGGCGGTAATCTAGCAACACATAATCGTTTGATTGCTGTTACCTATAAAACATGAACTATCAGCCTTAGCTGCCAGCTGATTATTAATATTAATGTGATACCTACATCTCTCTTGATTTCGATTTCTCCAAATTATCTAAAATAACACTTTGAAAAAAAAAAAAAAATGAATCTCCCTTTCGTGCTCTTCTTTTCTTTCTCGTTCATTTTTCATTACAGAAAATTCAAACCTTAACTAAATTCTAAATTCTATAGTTCAAAATAGAGTGAAAAACCTACTTTCTTATTACATTCTTCACACAAATATGCATTATCATTGTTCAACAAATCCCCTTTTACGTATTCTTTAAGGGAATCGAGAAGGTTATTATGAGATCGTACGTCAACTGAGATTGATGTGAACGGTTCTTCGCGTTGATATCTAAATATTTTCCACCAAAAAATCATATATTCAGAGAGAACAAAACGGAAGAAATGATAAGAGCAGAAAGTACTCCCATCCGACCCCGGATACCTAATTTCTCTATTTGGCAAAATAAGGAAAAATATCAAATCCCGAATTACACGACTGCGGATTATATCTTGCTGTTCAACAGCAAAAAAACGCAATGACAGCAAAACAATTTACATAAAAATGTGATTAGATCTATAGAGTACGATAAGTGATCATTGCATCTGTATTTCTTTGAAAATATCACGAAATAGAAAAATAAGCGAGTTGTAGTACCTGTGCGGACAATCTTTGCAAATCTTTTGATCAGCAAATGTTCCACCAAATAAATTCTCACAAATTGGCGGTTCACCCAACTTCTTAAGACCTTCATCTATAGAATCAAAAAGAGCGTTGTAAAATTCTAAAGCATCCTGTTGCTCTCGCACGTTTACTGCTTGACCATAGAATCTAAAATGTGATTTTTTTTATCTTAATTGAATCCTGAACGTTCCTGAAAACATAAATGATGCATAAGCATAACTAACCGAAAATGCTTCCAGAAAAATTTCGGAGAGTAGAACTGCATTTCAGAACCAAGCAGATGTGCAAAAATTGATTGCACTGCTTTCAAAATTGTTGCATGATAGTGCTCCTCCGCAACAGTGTACTCCTGAAAATAAAAAAACATTGAACTAAGGATTGGTTGTCAACAAAAACAAATTTTTTGGACGAATATAAGCTTACATTTGCAACCATTTCTTCGATGCTCATATCATCCGTAAAGTTCGCATTGATAATGACGTTACGCAGCGGTTCAATCATGAATATCTATAAAATAAACTATTTGTTTCAGAAAATATTCAGCTTGGTGGGTCATATCACACAATATAGCCAAGAAGCTTGCAGAAGCTTCTATGTTTCTTAAAATTAAAGAAAATCACACAAGCTAGTTAGGATTAGGTATTTCGAACCTTCCGCTCTTCATTTTCATACGACTGATTTTTGAATGCCTCGATATGCAGTTACGGCAACAGAAAGGCTAGATTTTCAAATGATTTTAATATTACCATATTGCTCTCGAGCTGGATTTATTGCACAGGAATTAACTGAATAATTCAAAATTTTGGCATCACTTAAAAACGATACTAAGATAAAATGCACCTGTTGGAATACAGAGTTCATGTAACAAGTAGCTCCACCATTCTTCAGTCCTACATAACTATTCGGTGAACGAATGGAATATCCGGGTATATATTCCCATTCAATATTCATAGTAGGAACTGACTCTGTAAATGTACTCATTGAAACTGAGCGAGTTACAAGACACAGACCAATATTCAAGTCTAGTCGTAAAATAATGTAATTTTAACAAAAATTGAAAAAATACAGCTTTCATTTAGTAAATCCTACAAAAACAAGCACATTCTCTAAAACCTTTCGAACGGTTACGAAATGATGAAGCAAAACCTGAGTAGAAAAGCTCGAGAAGATTTTCAACTATACATCGATAGTTGAGCGGAGTCGTGTCACAAAGTGCGATAATCAAACTATATGCTGCTTTGGCACTTTCGCTGGTACCACATACTGGAATAGAACGGGAAGAAAGCAATGGTTCCATTGTTTCTGAGCGTGGCGTAATCTTATCTGACTCATCTATATCTGTAAAGTGCTAACAACTGTTTAGAATATCAATATTCGTAGAGATAAAGACCTTATTAAGCCTATTTATAGTGATATGATAGATTTTGCCATAAATCCTTAAATTTCGTATTATGCTTCTTAACCTGACCTCCAAAACAAATCTGCTGTCCTTTATTTGTGGATTACAAAATAACAAATAAAATAATTTCGTCATTTTAACGATTTATCACCTCTCGAGATTGCTGAATGTGTCACTGAACGTTGTATATGAACATCGCTATCGTTATCTCTTTGCCGCATCAAATTAACATAAGTTCGCGAAGATGGCAAAATAAACTCGTCCAACAACTGCTGCAAATTAAATCAGAAAAATGAAAATTGCATATGCCAAGCGTACCACACAAAATTACAAGTAAAATTAAAAAAATTATTTTACAAAAAATTCTCTAGCTACTGAAAGTTCTCAAACTGTGACCCATATGAAAATATTGATTTTCGTTCTTTAAAGAGCTACCTTGACAAGTTGTGTACCATTAGGTTCTGAACCAATCATAACTTTTTCTTCATTCGTAAGAAACCCCAGTAAACTACGACACACATCAAGTCGTCCAATTAGTAATTTGTCATTAGGATAACTTTCCTGATTTGCAATAGTATGCTGCTGAAATGTTTGGAATGTAAAAAATATTTCTGAATATCCAAAAATTGTGAAGACTCAATGATATTAACACCACTGAGTGAGAACTGCGTCTGAAATGCACACTCTCTTCCTACAAATTGCTGCGATATCAATGATCGTTGAGAGAAATTGAAGAGAATTCAAGTTTCAAATATGTTACCTTCGCACGATCTAACCAATCCAAAATCTTTTCTGTTTGCTGCATTACATCGTCAACGTAAATCTGATTATTTCTGCAGTGGTCCAATAGGCTAAAAATATTCATACATTTACTAGTAAAGTTAAGACAAAAATTTCCAATAATGGGATAGAATAGATCTAAGGCGAATTCTACTGTTACTACGCTATGTAAACAACCTCCATAAGAATCAACCGTTTCAAACCATCGAAAACAGTTAAATTTTTTCACAACCAAAGCACAACCACAGTTACAACCATTTATTAAAAAATTATTAACTCAATAATTCCTCCAACCACTCCAACCAGCTTCCAGGAATCTATAGTGAATCACTGATAACGGAAAAAGTTAATCGCAATTTCAACATACTTGCACAATAAGCCAAAAAATTCTGCATTCTTCATTAGCTTTTCATCACTTTCTTCTAGTTTGTTGAAAAGTAATTGTAACAGTGCTGACGAAAGCTGTCGCTCGGCCGAACCCATACGACAAACCATTCGTCGAATTAAAGCTGAGAAATAGCGCCGGATTACCCTGAAAATAATAGTTTTTGAAAGTAGCAAATGATCACTAAATCATAACAATTTCAAATAGTCATAACACTAAATCATAACAATTTCAAAAATCATAACAAAAATTTAATTGTAATTTTCCTAAGGTTTCTTTGCTAAAACTTGACTGGGACTAACGAATTTTGCATCTGTATAAAATTGTGAATTTTGATATGACAATTAAATTCGTTAATAAATACTTCTTCCGACATATAATAAAACGCACAAGCTTTTGCAAAACAATAAGTCGGATACGAGAAGATTCCACAGGTGAATGATTTTAAGAACTTCTGATGTTGCATCTCCACTAACGACTTCTATCGCAAATGCATCCAATAAGCATTCTGTTGGTTCTTCCTGCATTAAGCCGTTAATTATTCATTGTTATACTCTCACAAAAAATTGAATTAATAATTCATGAAATGTCAAGTAAAAAACAGAAGATACTTTGTTTTTCTCGATTGAGCAAGAAACTACAATGCAGTATGTCACAGTTAAAAATGCAAACTTTCGCGAAATAAATTACCAGAGTAAAAGCTGCAGGTTGTGATTGCCGGATTGTTTCAATAGATGAATTCTTTGCCAAACCACCCGAGATAGGACGTAAGGGTATATTTCGTGAACCAACTGCCCACGCAAGCCGTAGAAAACATTCAATCCGATTGCTATCTGCGGTAAATAATTGACAAATTGTTGCAATGGTTTCAGCATTCTTTTCGATACGATCATTGAGATCATGCGCAACTACACAACAAAGCTATAAAAATAATGAGATCTTAATTTATTTGGAAAAATATCCTTGAAGAGTTTTTGTTTCTTTTTAATAACTGCCTACTTTGATTCAGTAATGACATTCCACAATATACATAAAAATTTAATTTGACTGGATAAACTTCACTTTGCAAACTTATCTTAAATACAGACAATATAAACAATTTCTCCAGCCTCCAGCCAATATATTAAACTGTAATACTTTGTAGTTCAAAATAATATGCCTTTCAATTACAACGCCACTGTACATACTGTTATCGTATATAAAATGTTACCTCTTTAAAAATTGCTTGTTCACGATCAATAACTCGACCCGTTTCAAAAAATTCATTTCCCTTCTCATTGGCAGTCCTCAAATACTAAAAAAAACACTGATTATATTGAGCAATTTTGAAAGAGCAAAGAAAGAAATCATGGATGATATTTTTTCTTAAATCAGAAAAAGTAACCATGAATGCGAGCGAAAATATGACAGAAATGAAAAAAAAAATAATGCGTACTTTGAGGCGTGCCGCTACGAAGAGAACAAATTTCGCTATATTTGCTAACCACCAAACAATTGCAGTACAAGCATATTCATCCCATCGACACAAAATCTGAGGATCTCCCAAGAACGAAAATACTGCCAAACAACTTGGTGATGTCAGGAAAAGAATCTGAATTAAATATTTATCAGCGTTAAGAGCAATAAAAAAGTTCAAACTGAAATTAAGGTTTAAGTTTCAGATTAGCAAAGTCATGCACATTATAATTAACAGTTTTGTTTTTGGATTCAAAAATATGAATCTTGGAAGGTAACTAAAATTCTCAGGGATAAAAAACCAAAATATTCAAAAAAAAACCTGAAATTCCGTAGCCTCAGTCATGAAATGTCCATTGTACGGCAAAAGTAAGGAATGCAGCACACGCAAAAGATGCAAGGCATGGTTAGATGATTCGGATGGTAACAGATCAAAAAATCGTCCTGATTCTACTAATTCTCTTAGCAACGTTACTGACATTGTATCTGGTGGTATTTGACTGAAAAATTTTATGAGGTCTAGTTGTAAAAATCTATAAATATGTTGATAGTGCAGAAAATCGCTGAAGTTTGAAAAAAGAGCTTCAAAACTTACTTTAAGACATCGGTCGCAGATTTCCTTAAATAATTATTCCCATATGCATATCCGATGTCGGCTAAGGTATAAAGGAATCGAACATGATCAGGATTTACAGCTATTACAGAGCCTGGCAAAATACGTTCATTTTCTTCATTACCAGATGTTGTCTCTTCATTCCTGAAATACAGAACATTACTTCTCAACATGCACTGCTTAAAATAGAAAAAAAAAAAGACCAATTAAAAAATTTGGTGCAATTAATTTCTGCTTTCAATTAAAAAAATTTCAGAAATGAAAAATTCAAACCAGCTGCTAAGTGTTTGATCAGGACTAGAATCAGTGCTTAAACGATTATTCCATCTTATTGGACGATTTTGAAGACGAATTATAATATGAGCACTGGAATCTATTCCTAATTCATCAAGTGTTTTACGACGATCAGATGGGTGCAGTGTCCTTGTTTCTGGTGGATTAAGGGACTGAACGGTTAACTGCACTGGTACAAGCAATCCGGCAATAGTGCAGCCATCTATATGTCGTAATTTATCGTCAATCTGCAATTAGTCATCTCGAAAAACCAAAAAATGTTCCTCCATTCATGATAATAATTCCGGAGAAAAAAAAATTTTTTTTTTGCTTCCCAACATTATACCCAAACACTGTAAATCAATCGATAAAAGACTAATATCATTTATAGGGAAAAAATAAGGGAGAATTGTTCTGAACTCATCTGAAAGAAATTGTTTGAGGAAACAAATAGTTCTAAAAAATTATTAAATATGAATCACTTTATCTGTACCATGTGCCAGCTTAATTGTGATCTTATTTGCATGCAATGACCAAATATCGTAGTATTTTCCTAACATGTTTGATGTCTTACTGCAATTTGATGTTACTCTTTTTGAACCATGATAGAGATGAGAAATGGGCTTTCCATTTATAGTTCTCGCAAATTTTACACTTTCATTTTGAAAAAAATTATTACAAACCTTGAGTTTCAAAGCTGAAAGTGGCATAGTCGAGTGAACTGGAATAGCATGATCTTCGTCTTCTAGTAATGATGCTGGAATACAGTTACATTTAGTTTTATAGTTTTAGATGTGGAAAGATAAAAAATAGAACAGCTTCGCATGGAACTTTAAAATACGCCAAGAAAATAAAAGACCAAAACTGTTAAAAGTCCTAGCAAAAAAAAATTCCGTGAATTGCAAAAAAAACTTGAAACATTGAGCAATACAAACTCACAGTTCGTGTCGGCGCCACTCGGCAGTTTTTCATCTAAATAATTTAGTAGCTAAATTAGTCTGATCTAGTAATATAAGAAAACAAACTAAAAATTATTTTCTGAACATATTATCTATGCAGACTGTTTATAAGCATTTTCAAATGTCGATTTTTATTTGGTAAAACAAAGATTTACCATGCACATCTTCTCCTACATCAAACAATGAAAGATTTTAATATAATATAATAATTATTTGTCTTTATATAAATTATATCTGCTTTTATAATTGATTGCCTCCCAACTCCGTACATTATATTTTTATATGCAAGACTGAATGAGGCATTGGTCTCTCAAAGAAAGCTTTGCTATGAAACAAAGGCTAAAAACATAAGTTTAAAAACTTCATCACTAGATTTCTTATTCCAAAAATAAGTCATTAAATACTACGAATCTAAAACATGCCTGGAAAAACAAGTGGTAATACAAAGCATCGTCCCAAGCCCGCCTTACGAAGTGGCTGTTGGGATCTTTCGGGCGTATAGTAATCATCGTCAAATACACAGATATATGAATTGAGAGCCTGAAACTTCGACAGTATAACGAAGTAATATTAAAAATATATTAACAAAGTACTTCTAATATCATCACAGTTCTAGCACAGTACCTGTTTTGAATTACTCGCATGACATTATGCAATGTTGAAAATTTTCAGAAACTTTCTAGAAAAGCTTAATGCACACGAAATTTTTGTTAAACCCTTTCTTTTATCTTTTGAAAAAACATCTCTCTCTCTCTCTCTCTCTCTCTCTCTCTCTCTCTCTCTCTCTCTCTCTCTCTCTCTCCATTTCTCTATTAAGAATTGCATCAATCGAAAAGTTACCGTTAAGATTCTACCCATCCGATCAAGCATTTTCATTTTTTTGTCGTCACTATCAACTCTTTTGATGAGGTCATCGTGTTTCGTTTTCAGCATTACGAAACTAAAATAAGAAAATCTTGGTCTAGGAAATCAGAGTCTTCTATTCTGCCTCATTTCACCCGAAGCTGCAATTTCATTACCTTTTTCCATGATCACTTTACTAGAGTATTTCGGTCTCATATAAAACGACACAGGGAAAACTCAAAGACGTAACACAGCAAATAATTTCTAACAAGATGAAACTATTTTTCATCTAACAGTTCGAATTAAAAGCTAACGAACATCCTGAAGTGCACCTAACCATTTATTAACTACTGTCTGAATCAAATGAGCAAAATCAGAGATCAATGTAGTATGAGGATTTGCCAAAATTTCGACCCATAAGGAAACTGCTAAATGTGATACTTCGGTACGAGCTTGCAGCATTATTTCCCATAGATAATCCATACCCTGCAAATACAGAAAACCTTAATGACACTCAAATTTAAGTATATGCTTATCAACTATATCAATCCTGAATCCGGAGAAATGTGATGAGGAATAGATTCAGTATCCGAAACGAACTGTATAAGAGCAAAAAACAATCTCATGTTCCTAAACTCCACTATTTATCATATTAAATCTTGTTCATAACCAAAATTGAAATTCCAACTGAAATTAAAAAAGTTCACATCGCTGGATAAACTGATAGACTTCTAGAACCCAGCACAAAGCAAACTTCAAAAGAGTTACTGTTCGTAATGTGAACTCAATTAATGTTCTGGAACACTTGTGGTTTTTTAATGTTCTTAATTTCAATTCACATGTTACCATCAGTTTGAAATGCAAATACTAGTGTTTATAATATATGTTTACTCACCTCAAGATCAAAATCACACATTAAATAATGTAATATTCCTTCAGTGGGTTGGAACAGCTTACTGTGTTTCTTATTTACTGAAGTCCAAAAGGTTTTGAAACATGAAAAACCTTCTTCGTTTAGCAATTCAACTGGAAGTTTTAGGATTCTGGCTGAAATCAAATCTTTTGATGAAAAAGAAAATCCCGGAGTCAACGTCCCGAAGTAATTAACAACTTTAATTAAAAACAATCGTGGAAAGCTCCATCTGTTAGAAAATTATTTTGTTTGAGCTACTCAAAAGTTTTCACGCCTCCTTTTCTTTATGAAAAGCAATACTTCCAAGATTGGTCAATGACATCATTCAACGTACAACACAAAATTTGGTTCTAAAAAGTTAAAAAGCAAATTCAAAATTAAAATTTACATGTAAACAGTTGATCAAGTGCTTTCGGATCGATATCTTCTTGATCTTGCATTGTACCAAACAGTTGAAAGCCATATGTGCGCTCATAATCAAAGACTGATCGGACAATAAGAGCATCCCACAATTCATTCGCCTTAACTATCCTTTCAATAACTCCAAACATTAAAGATTAACGATGAATAAGAAAAATAAGAAAAAGCAAAATGAACCTGCGGTGCCATGAGCCAAAGTTGTCCATCAGAAAGAAGAAAATGCAGAAAGCTGAGCCGAATTCGTAAATTATCACTATGAGTGTAACGACCAACAAACACTAGACTACCTGCGTCTTCTACAGCAGCATAAATGTGCGGTCGATCATTCTAAAAATATCAGTATATTAAAAAGTAAGATAATATTAATTGCTTAATGTACACATAAGCGATAAATAAAGCACTGCAAATATTTTCAAACATATTCGTAACACAACGACTTGTAATATATAAGCCGAAAAAATTGTAACACTTTGGCTGGATAGAATGAAAAATGTTTGAGATAATAAAAATGAGATAATGCATACCACAGCATTTCGCACTTTTTCCATGTATAGAGCAACATTTTTCGATAGTCTTGAGCACAGCTCTGTATCTTGCTGTACGGTAGCGATGTATTCCGCCCTTAGAGAGAAAACATTAATTTCCAAACAATGGTCGAGAATTTCGAAATAGTGCAAGTGATAAAGATTAAAATTGTTTTATCATTCCTAATTACTTCCCGATTTTACTTTAGTAATAATAATTGTTATCACTCATTTATCCCTTCTCTCTCTTCTGCTTTCTTTTATACACTTTTTTACATAATCCTTTCAAAATTGTCCAACTCAATTTGTTTATTTAACTTCAATTATCCATTTTGCGACATATCATTCTAATATCACATGAACAAAATAAGCCTTAATATTAAAAGACGTAAACTACAAAGCCGAAATTTTCGGCAAATGATTACTTGTATTTTCACAGTTTTCTCACCAGAATATCGTTACTTGTCAAAAAAAAAATAACTCATCATACATTAAGCCAACAATAATTAACAACTCACCGTGTCACTTTTCTGCCTGTACTATAGTCACATTCTGGCATTAAAGTCATTAGCCGCTGCATATGCTTTAATGCAGGAAGTACGAATACTGAAAAAATAATTATAGGTTGACACTTGTCTCTACAATGATCAAACTACACTGTACTGAATTAAAAAACACTGTTAAAAAAAAGCTTACCTAAGTCCAAAAACCAGAAAATTGGAAAATTCATTTCAGAAAACTGCTAGACATTACAATATTTTTGCTTAGCGAAGGTCAACTAACAAGCCGCATATTGTAACAACTACAACTCAGTTACTTTTAGAATAAATGAAATGTGATGTACAATTCCCTTCTTGGTACTTGACAGTTTGGTTACAAAAAATCTTTTTCAATTATTTAATGATCTTGAGCGAATTACCTGAATCCAGAAGTAATTCATCAATACAACGTTCGATGTAATGTCTCCTTAATTCTTCAGCAGGTACTGCACTTTCTAGTACATTGAAATGTGCTTCTAGAGCTGCATCAATCATTTCCACAGGTAACCGTTCATCATGGAACAAATCCCATAGCAGCGAAAGAGATTTTATAGTTAACTCCTAAAAATTTTGAAGCATTGCAGCATAATAATAATGAGAAATGAGATCATTTTTGATTATTCAATCATTTTTGATTTTTTTTTGATTACACTGCGTCACTTAATAATGGTATAATAGTTACAGTTATAATTTTCTGATTCACTTGAAGATTGTGAGATGTGCGCTCTCTTGGTTCCATATTACGCACTCATTATTATTCCCAAACTTCGATCGGTGAAAATTAATTAGCGAAAGAAGAAATATAAACCTTGTCTTTCTTTTTTTTTAATTCTTTCTCACAAATACACTTGAAATGAATTAAATGAAATCATTAAATGAAAATTCCTTGACCTGACTTGTCCTTAGCTGCATGCTCTGTTGACCACGTGATTTAATATTCTAAACAATAAAATAATAAGTTACCTTTTCGGTAAGACTACTAAAATCGACGCCAATTCGACGTATGAGATCAAGCAGAAGTGTTCGTTGTCTTGAAGATGATTTTGTCCAACTCTCCTTAACATATAAAAATTTCTAATTAATTTTAATTTCCAACTTTCAATTCCAGTTTTTTTTTAATTCAGAATTTAAAAGAGACTGCAATACTAAAATAAAATGAATCGAATAAAGAAGCATGAAAATACGAAATGAATTTATAAATTTTTTACAAATCAAAAATCTTAAGCAAAATAAAACTATCCGCGACTAAAAGTAAAACTTTTAAATGAATGGAAATTATAACTCTCACCTTCATACGTTCAAATAAATGCTTTTGCAATACGTTGTTCAATCCATTAACTAACTTCGCTATTAGGTCATGAACATTTCGCTGAATGACATCATGTTTCTCACGTTGTACATTCCATAGGATATCCAAATCATCAACTGTTATAGCATTTCTTTCCAGTAACACTCGGAATACTCTTTCCAATCTGAAAATAAATTATTTGGGAAAAATTGTATTTTTTGTTTTTATTCATCATTAACCAACAGAATTATGAAATATGATTTGATAATTAAATCTTCCAGTAAAACTAATCAAAATGAAGAAATGCAAACCTTTCGCAATATGACGGATGATGCAAATTATCACGAACCAATATTTCGATAAGATGTTGCTTCCTTAGCCATTCTGTCAAGTCATTCATCGAAATTACTATTTCTTGCTGAAAGAACGGTAAGAATACATCCTGAAAATATTAAACTTATCATACAAAGCAGAACTAACCATTTAACTCTTTGCTTAAATATGTTATGATTTTTTCCCCACGCTTCCTCAGATCTAATTATGCATTAATCATGAAGACATTGAACTGAAATAAGGATATTGAAAAAGTAGTGGAAAATATTAGTTAGGATAACAGGGAATAATATGCCAAAGTCAATTTTGTTCAAACTTTGGAACGTTCGGTAACACACCTGCCGAAATTCTGACGCCGCATTGTGCAAAACCATATGTAATTCTTCTAAAGCTGCTATGCGTCCAGCAAAAGGTGCTACTTGAAGTACTCTGAAATCCTTCATCCTTATGAGCATTTAAACAGCATTCTTTCTCATTAAAATGACGATAATTACTTTGTCGAAACACTTTCTATGTTTATTTCCCACAGTGTCGAAAGGCCTTAATTTTCAGATTTTCTGCATGTTGGAAATGCAATCGAAAATCAATAATATTCGTACAAAGTATTTATGAACGTATCCATGAAAAAATAAATCTTGTACCGCAAAATATATCGCAGTGAGAAAAACTGCATTTGTCGTCCAAGATGTGTCATTTCTGGATTAATCAGTAATAAGCTTTGTAATACTTTTGCCAACTCAATATATGGTGACTCGTTTAAATCACCTTTTACCGTTTCGCACTTCAGTTCCTTATCGTCCATGTGCTCTAGTCGTGCCACTGCTACTTGCTAAAGGAAAAAAATACGATCTCTACATATTAATCTCACCTACTTCAAGTAGTACCTTTTGCTGGACGCATAGCAGCTTTAAAAGAAGCTGCTATGCGTCCAGCAAAAGGTGCTGCTTGAAGTACTTTGAAATCCTTCATCATTATGAGCATTCAAACAGCATTCTTTCTCATTAAAATAACGATAACTACTTTGTCGAAACAAAATGATTTGTCAAATCATCCGAATTAAGTCACTTCTATCCAGCCCACAATCCTATATATATATTCTCTACATTCCCGTAAAAATCATTTTAGAATCACAATAACAGCGTCCTGTTTTTAAGCTAATAAAATATAACAAAAAAGAATTTTCCACAACTTCAAGGATATCTTCTGATATTCTTCGAAATTAAAAAACGACCAGCTTTCAGAAAACTGGTATCGAAATTGTAATTTAGTTTAATGAGACGTTTTAAATCTCTCTTTTCAGTAATGATCTATTTTCATGAAATGTCAATTAACAAATTATTACTTTAAGTCTTTCATTCTAGGCCTTTCCTAATCGAAAAGTAATTCAACTTTATTGCGTTTCAGAATTCGAAGACAGACAGTAAGGAAAAAATGAATACTTACAATAGTTGGACCAAAAGTTTCTGTAATAAGTGCTGGTTTCAACAGGAGTGAACAAGAAGCAAATGGTCGAAGCCAATCGATAAAATCAGTAATTTTTGTTGTTTCATTAACGTTTCTCTCCAGGAAATTCTTCATCAGTGTGAAGCCACCAATCTTTCCGAAATAACTTAGTAATAGCAAAAGCCACAATTGCAAAACTCTCTGAAAATGAAACATGTTTAGAAAATGATGTCTCAAATAAAAAAAGAACAAGTAACACATATGCTGATCTTCATGAATTAACAAAAAAGGCCATTTCATATGTAAGACTCGAAAATTCAAAGTAAGCGTGTAACAGTAATTCTTGAAACATGTCAATAATGGAGTTATGTGCTCCAAGACTCTTGAAAGAAAGTGTTCTGCTCAAGAATCAGAATTGCTCGAGAATCGGAGCTGCAGATCATAGCAAGAATAAGGCCTCCAGCAATTACTTAAAGTAAAAGCTTATCGCTAATATCACGAATCATGACTAAATTTACCAACCTGATATACTTCATCAACGGTGTTAATTGAGGTGTAACGTATCAATTCATTCGGATCAAATTCCATTTGCAAGAAATCTGCCTTGCGTCCAAAATTTTGCATATGAAAACTGAAAATACAAGTGATAAATTTATTAGGGTGATCATTCTACTGTAAAAAAATCTTCATTCAATAATGCAAATTTACATTAAACTTCAAAAAATTAAAAAAGCATCGCAAAAAAAGCATCACAAAAATGCAAATCTATAACATTCCAACTTTCTGCTGAAAATTTCAAATTATCTAACCATTTCCAAATTCCTAGAGACATAAGAATTATCTGCATTACTTTATTCCCCTTCTCCATCCTAACCTTACTTTACGCACATTTTTTTACATTTCATCTTCCTTGCTTCTCCCAAAATTTGAAAACTCTTTTTAAGTCTATTTAATAAAATACTGAAATGAAATAAGATATTGGGACCTCTACTATTTTGTAATGTAAAAGAAGAGAGAATCGAAAAGTGACTAATCAAAAGCAAAAAGTGAAAAAAATGCCTCCGTATATGACAAATAAAAAGCAATAAAAAAAGGAAAAACATACAAATAACATACTTCACAGAACTGAACAAAAAACTCGGCAGCTTTAAAGCATACCGACTATTGCTGGACAAGGCGTATTGCAGTATTTTCCAGTATGCGTGATGAAAATCTTCTGCTGCAAGCGTTTGCCGCATTTTCTCCGTGAACATGACGAGGAATCGCGCAACACTTAGCCAAATAAATCTCTGTAATCTTTTTTCAACATGAAAGAAAATTTATTCCTTTACATCCAATTCATTGCATGCATTAAATTGCTTAGAAAACAACACAGAAGCAGTCTAAAAGTTGTGCAAAGAGACATGCTGAAGATTGTATTGGCAGGCCTTTATTTTCAATTCTGTAACTCATAAAGAAATGAAAACAGAAGAATTAAGACCCTAAGATTTCTAAGAAGAATAAATTTAATGCTTTTCATAAATATTGAAGAATAAAGAACCGTTCACTTGATAAATCATCGCAGAAATATTTTAATAAAATCCATTATCCTTAATCTGATTATATGTTAATAGATTATTGTCTCAATACGAAAAATATTTGAATTCATAAGGATGGGATGGTATACTAATTTCTATCTTATAGAGCATTTATCTTGTTTATTTTTTTTTAATTCTAAAGCAATGCAATGATGATGCACAAGAACTTCTTCATAACTTAATTTTAGGATGTTTTCAAACAGCGAATATAAAGTTAATACTCGTTAAAAAAGCTGAAATACCGCGATTATGGAACTAAAATCTTTTTTAATGGCAAATTACATGGATTTCAATTTTCCAATCCTTCAGCGCCTCGTCATTCATCAACTTATCGAAAGCAACTTGAAGTCCTTTTTCGAGAAAACCTTCGAAATATTTCGATGTCCTATCAGTACCTGGAATGTTAAACGTAAGCATTGCTATTCCTTAAACTACACCCTCCCTTAGTATCAATTGGATTTTTGATATGATTTTCCCGCTACTATTAGGATAATACTGCATATCCAACACAGTCAAAGAATTAAACTAACTGAGCTCTATAGTTACTTCCTATTTTCCAATTTCATTTTCGACAGGTATGCAAGCATTGAATACTTCGGACACTAACTAATACACTTGGATCGAGTACAGTTCAACTTATGCAAATTTTTGGAAGCAGTAGTTGAACACATAGTTCAAATATATCTATCTCTTGCTTTCTTTTCTGTCCCTACTACTGTTTTAAAAATATGACTCGAAGACAACTATGATACTGACTTAGAATTTGTGTCTGATGCCAAAATGAATACCTCGCTTTATGAGCACAATTGCAACTTCCATTAGTCCTTCTAATTCTTGATTGGGTAACACAGGCACTATCCACCTGTAAAAGCAGTTGTAAATATAAAAGAATGATGAAAAATGCAAACAGTGACTTGAATTTAAAATTTGGTTGATTTGGAAAAATTTATAAAATTCAACTATTCAATTCATTAATGGTAGGCCAGCTCATTTGGCAATTCACCATGCTGTGATATATATTCTAGAACATGTTTATTTTTCCTTCTCATGATCTAAGAGTGAAAGACATTTATTTAGTGAGAGATATTTATTCATTCGTCAGATATGTTTTTCCAGCCTTCTGTAATCATTAAATACACAAAAACAACCTCGTACGATGTAACTGATCGAATAAACGAGTCAACATCCCTGATGGTAGCTCGGTGAAATCTTCCCATTCTTTCGGTCTCTCACTTGCAATAGCATTTAATTCAGCATGTGCTGATGGTGATGTTTTAACGTCAAAGGTATTTGGTCGTTGCAAAGGGTCGCCAATATTTGAAGATGATGACCCGACGGTAGATGCTGGAGCCGAACTTGACATTGCTCTACCAGTTGGACTATCTGAAATGTCACAATAAATCTCATATCTTCTTTCTACTATCATTATTTTATAAATTTTAAAATAAGTTATTCAGAGCAGCTATCTATTAAACGTAGCCAGTACAAGGACTATCAGGTCTGTGCTCCTGATAGTTAATTTATCCGATTTCTAACTTTTGATTATGTTTGCTGCACACTGAGTTCAAAATTGAAATACATGGAAGATTTCCCATCGTAAATTAATAAGGAAATCACCAAGAGAAAAATCAGATTGTGAGAACCGCAACACTAGTTTAAATAGGAATATCATTTGATGATATGATTTATAACGCTGAACGTTCAAAAAAAGGCCGAATATGAATATGAATCAGGACTTTCAGGAAGTTATGAAATTAACAGCTAATGAATGTCAACAACAGTTAGTCAAAAATAATAGAAATAGTTCATAATCTGTAATTTTTAGGAACAAACTATAGTCAGACCTCGTGGGAATAAGAAAGAATGAAAGATTATTGCAAAATATTTTTGCTCTACAAACAAGCACTCCGGAATTTTCGATATACTCTCATACCTAGAAATGAGATGTGAAAGAGGGAAACTAATCGAGCTTGTTCACAGCATATGTGTATTTCCAAACTACTTTACAATTTTTAGTCGATCGGTTGTAAATATTAAATCACATTGGTGCTATATTGTAACATATGAATGAACGACAATTATTAAGGAAATTAGTTAGTCGCAATAGACGGTACACAGAAGATTGATTCTCACTGACTGAATGGGATATGGACAATAATATGTAGACCTTCTACAGAAGACTATTCAAAACAATCAAAAATATTTCAGTTATAACAATCTTTTTAAAAGTTACACGTATTTATCCAAAAGTTTCATTTCTATGTGTATTCCATTTATAAAGCATCAAAATCTAATCTAGTAAGTCAATAAATTTATAAACATACTATGAAAAACTGATGGCAGTGGTACTTCTGGAACATTACAGAATTTTTGAAAATAAGCCGCAATTTGTCGTTTCGATAATGTCGATGGATATCGTATTTGCTCGTCATCTTCATCCAATTCAAATTTACTCTGTGGACTCTCCACACTTTCCACTACATCTTCTAGCTCGCTTTTGGAACTCATCGATTCAGCAAAAACTGGACTCACTGATGTTCGAATCTGTAATTTTTTGGTTTTATAACATGTAATTAAAGTTTTTGATTCTCCTTGTTTTGGAATCATTGAAACCTCCAGCTTCCGATTGTTCGTTCATTCCGCCAGTAATCTCTTTTATGTTACCATCCTGGAAATGGCCAGAAATGTCTCTTTAGAGAAGAGTAATGATGCTTGCCATTAAACTTCTGCACAATCAATATAATAATAGATCACCCGTAAATTTGAATCGGCCTACGTGTGCAGCATTTTTGTACGTTGTCCAAAGTTCTCAGAAATTCTATACTAATATCAAAACAAAAGTTTTTAGTTTTTTCGTGTTTCAGTGGTGCTCACAAACCGTTGTAAAATTAATTTGTAATTTGAAAAAATGCTGCTCGAAATCTTATGTAGAAGATCTTAATAGTCTCATAAGGAATTAAAACAAACTAAGTTAAGGTCAAGTGAGCTCCAAAGAATAAATGGAAAAATACCACACATTATTTATCCAATAACATCCCACGAGCAAAATGAAAAAAAAAAAATGCTAAATAGATCAAGAAAATGATATTAGCCCATTAACTCCTGATAAAAAAAATAAAATGATGAAACATGTAATATATAGATCATTAAATTTAAAAAAATCAATTTTAGTGAATATAATTAATGCATTTTTCGCATTTATAACATGTTTTGAAGGGATTACCAGTAAAGGCGAATCGTTTTCGTCATCTCGTGTTGGCAGCTCATCAAGCTGTATCCACCAATCTCCATTTTCATCTTCCGATTTTGTTGGTCGTGTATCACTGTAAAAAGTATCAAATAATTTGGGAAATTTGATAGCAAGGTTATATGCCGTCAAAAGATGCATAATTTCAAAACAGAATCGCAATACGAAGGCAATTGCATCGAACATCTACCTCCATCCCACTATGGAAATGCATAGTTCTTACCTGACACTTTAACCTCACCTAAATCTCTAAAAAAATCCAATATTTTATTCAGTGATCAATATGTTTACTTTAGCCTATCACTAATAGATAGAAAATATTAACTTCATTCTGCAAAAATGAATTTTTGCAATACACGCTTATCTGGGGTTTAAATCAGTTATTAACCCATTTAAAACAAACATATCAATAGCATATTTCCATATTATTACTCAATCGTTATGCGGTTGCATTAAGCCTCAACTCCATAATATTCCCATTATTTTTGTATCAAACTTTGTCATAAATTTTCTATGAAAATCAAAAAAAAAAATCCAGAAATTAAGGAAAAGTTCAACTTCTTGCAACGACTGTATGTTCGAATTGCGTCGTTCAATTCACCAGAATTAAAATCAGTGAGCATTGATGCGTCAACTGGACTTGAATGCGGTGATGACGATGGTGCAGAACAATGTGAATCATTGACTAAAAACGCTAAAAAATACTTCATTATAACCAAAAGCAACTGTAGTTATATAAAATATACCTTCCTTATCGAGCATCAGTGAACTAATTCTCAAGCTAATATTCACAATCTGATATATTTTATAGACACTTTTTCCCGCACGTGTAACATATCGGATAAGTCTAATCCAATATGATTCTTCATCCGTAGCCATGTATGCTACCTGATAAAGAACTATCTTAGGCAAGTTTGCAAATTCAGTCTGGGTAGTTCGATTGGCCTTTCTTATCTTTGCTGTTAGCAACACTTATATTTCTTATTTTTTTAAGCGCTTCTACCACGTATCGTTTAGTGCAACTAACAGTTGTTATTCTTAAGATCAAATAGATGCAAGTGAAACCTTTCCAAATACTATTTATAAGGGCAAAAAAAATCACAAAAGGTACATACCACGTTTTGCAGCACATCGTCTTTTCTTGCTACTATCAGAATCCCACTTCAATTCTACCGAATCATCCTCGTGTATCTGTCTATCGTAATGATCATCCATAATGATGATACACCAATATATATGCTACGAGTCCTTAAGTAACGTGAAATATATATATATAATATATATGTACAATGGTAACCAATTCCTTCACAGCTTCCGTTCAGTCGTCTGATTTTCTTCCTCCAAACCAAAACCGATCGTTTCTACCATATGTTGGAATCCTCACGCATAGCGTCACAAAATATGAACGTTGTTCAAAGCCGGTCTTTTGCTCAGTAATGTACCGAGCAAACCGGAAATCAACTGCAGCAATAATAATTATAAACGATCATATCTATGATTTAATTATTATTAAGAACATGTGATAACGATACTAAAACCGTGATTGAAAGTAAGTAAAAAAGGCAGTTATGATCAAGTGAAATAACAATGATTATAAGATCAGAACGATCTTGAAAGGATATGAAGAAGGAATGACGAACATGAAAACTCTTGCACGGTATGATTGTAAGCACGAAAATAATGATAATTACGGATATAATTTCTTTCTCTTAATTATGCTGATCAAAATAATTGCAACAGGTAAAAATCGATACTCACAGTTTAGTTATAATTATGAAAATTATTGTCACTTAATTATAACAGTCATGTTTTGATTATAACTAAAGTAAATATGCAATGATTTTGTATGCGAAACACATTTAAATAGGGAAATAATATTTGTATTTTCAACATTCATCAAAAAACTGCCAAATTTTTCTGAATAAAAAAAAGCACAGCAGTGAAAAATAATAATAGATCGACAATCATTTAACTGTCAACTTATCAGAGATTAACATAAATCCGTTTCTACTAAAACATGCAAGATTCATTATGAATGCATTCAAAACGAAATATTATGTTTCAATTAGCTTCCAGAATACACAGATTCATGATAAAATACATATCGATATCCCCAAAAACTGCACAACAAAACATATCTTTGAATTCTAAAAAAGAAAAAACAAGTTACGTCCACTTTTTAATGTTTCAGTATTATTTCTTGAGGAATCATTAAAGTTCATACAGGATTACTTTGTAAATAGCAAAACTTTTTCCAAGTATATGCAATTTTAAATTAGTATAGTTGGAAAATCACGAATCTACCTATGCTATTGATTTACTTTGTAAAATTCATATTCTGCTATGCTGTACCTATCTATTTTAAGATAGATAACGCTATGTCTTATCTAAATCGCATTCTAAACATTCTCTCTCACGTGCAAAGACACCGCTCACGTGACAACGCGAAAAACTAAGAAGGAAAAGTACCGTACAAACACACCACACCATGTCACCTTCCCGCACCTCTTTAATAGTTAAGCCGACACTGAGCCGGCAAAAAAAAATTTAAATAGTCAGCAATTCTGGTTTGGAAGCAAATTACACGGTGCAGCGCAATTTCGTCCCTTTCAATGAAGCATTAGCGGAGCATTCTATAGCGCTCTCGAGGGTTTTTTTTTTGCTTCAGAAGAAATTTTCCATAGTAAAATTAACTCGAAAATAATAAAATACCTTCCAAGTGCATCTAATTTGTTCTTTTTTTTTCCAATCATTATAGGGTAAAGTTGTATTCATTAGTAGTTCTTATGCTACATTATTTTATACATAATTAAAATTAACGATCAGAAATTACATAGAAAATATGCGTAATGTGAGTTGTATTTTGACAAAAATAACAGTTCATAATGGAATAAAGTATATGAAGCAACACATATTGTTAAAATCGGATAATTATTTCATGGTACGATCACGTATTTTTCTGATCTGACCTTATGTATTTAGCATATTTTAGGCTTAGCTAAATGTATCATTTCCCGAAATATTTCTTGTTATTGATTACACGATATTTATCAGTAATTACACGTGGAATATATTTTTCATCATGACGATATGTTATGTAGTATGTTATGAGTAGGTCATCGAATTTGCGTCCATTTTTTTTTTTCCAGATTTTCTTTCATTTTCCGAATTATTAAAGGTGATGCATTCATACATTTTTTTTTTTTGATCAGCTTTTTCCAATTATCGTTATCATTACATTTCCAGTTATCATTCATTCGTACATTTTTTTCGATTAATTTTTTTCAATCACCATTATCATTCAAATCATGCAGTCATTTTAGTGTTTACTGTAATGATCATGAAGATATTCGAATTTTATTATCGCTGATATCTTATTGTATATCATATTAAATATAAAAGCATTAAATCAATGTTAATCATAAAACAATAAATATCGATTGGTAAGCTATTATCACATTTCCTTATTAATAATTCTTTGAATGCAATAAATTGGATGATGCGAATTTTTTGATTGATTTATTTGCCCATATTTGTAAGAATGAATGAATTAGAATCAACGGTGCCCTGATTCATGGCATAATGTTCACCTTTACGTGCTCGTCTTTCCGAACGAATCCTAAAGTTTTTCCACTTTTTTAAAGCTCACATTTAATTATTTAAAAAAAAAAAAGAAAAACAAAACTGCTCTAATTGAATTTTCTTTATTGTGATGTGAAAGGAGAAGAAAACAAAATTTTACAAATCATGTAAGTTTAAAAAAAAAAAAAAAACTAATATTTTTTTGAACTGAAATTTTGGCAAACAATTACAAGTTTAATTATGTAATTAAATTAAGAAACAAGAGAAATTTCTTTCATCTGTAATTAATGGACAAACCTTGTGTAATTAGCATTCATACACATTAGAAAATAGATTAATCCTGTAAGAGTGAGAAAACAAAATGATAAAGCAGCAATAAATGGCCAAATTTGATTATTCTCTGCAGCGCATAATGCTTCTTTTTTGTCTTTGCAAAATTTCAAATCCACTTTCTACAATTAAATCAAATTAAAAAAAAAAATATCGATTCAAGCATGTTTCATGCTTACAGTAATATGAAAGAAATATTAATCTGCTTTAAGCAACACCTAGACTAATTAATTAATGTTATCAGTTAATGCTGATATTAACATACTAACACAATGAAATTTTAATTATTCCTAATAGTGTGATAAATATGTTAAATAAAGAAAATGGAGGAGAATTTTATAATGCATGCAAAATTTTATTACATATTACGAGTAAATACACGATGAATTAAATTTAAAAATTAAGAATTCAAATTAAGATTTTTTTTTATTTAACGTTTAAATTTTTTTTTTATCTACATTTTTTTCCTCCTACAATGTTGTAATTTCTTCCTTTGACGGTATTGCATTTTAAGTTTTAAAAATATTAAAATTTTACAAATTAAAAAGCGAAATGCACCTACCTTGTTGCTAATTCGATTGATAATAGCTGGTAGTAAAACGGTGAAATCGAAGCATTGATTATCAACCATATTACAGAATGAGTATATAGCGCTAATAAATACGACGTAAAACGACGCAAGTACAGCATTAATTGATACAATCATGCACCAGAATATAACTATAAAAATTTTACAAGTGAAGAAATTTAAATATTAAAAATATCATGATTGCTATTTAATGCTTTGCTTCAATTTACTTCCTCCTTTTCATTTTGCATTTGTTACGGTGTAATTTACGTAATAAAACTATAATGTTTACAAAATTTTATGCACTGATAATGATAATGATTGAAGATAAAAAAGTGGGAAAAAATCTTACTGTTAAAATTAAATTGAAATACATTTCCAAAAAAATGAATTAATTATCCAATTGAAAACGAGTATAAAAAGGAGCGGAATGCTTAATGATTTAAATTTAAAAGATTTAAATTATTCGATTTAAGAATGGAAGAAATATACTTAAAGTGCTAAGTAGCAATGATAATAAGCCAAGAATAAATGGTGATGTAATTATTCGAATAAGAAATGATCGTTCATTTGGTATTTCTGCTTTTGTATGATAGCAAACTGATACTGAAAAAAAAATCAAAAATTTTTCACTTTTTTTTTTAATGAGAAATTATTTTAATTTTTAGTTTTGGAAATTTCTTAAATTTCATATCATTAATGACTTTTCGTAAACGAAAATAACTTATATTAAGCTGATGATAATGTACAGTAGTCGTTATTTTTTTTTTTCATTTTTTTTAAATCGTTAAATTTCGTTGGTTTTATATTAGAAGAATTTCTCCTTTTATTCCTTTTTACTCTTTCTTTTTGCTAATAATTTACTATTTGAATAATTAATTTAAATTGAGTTGTTTTTTTTTTATTTTTGCAAAATTATGATTTAAAATAAATTGTAAAAATATGTTGAATACAACATGCATTAGTCATAGTATTTTTCATGTCAAAAAATTACTCACGAAGTGATAAATATATCAATTAATTATCAAAAATTTAGTAATAATTTGTTAAAAGGGAAATGCAAAAATTGTTCAATCCATGCACATAAAAAGTGAACGATGGTAAAATGTTGCTTTTAATATTTTAAACAATTTGTGAAAAAAAAAATGAAAAAGTTCAATATATGAATTGACACTTTATGGTAAATACAATAATAACATATTAAATAAAAGATCGAATGATTTCTTGTTGACCTTTATGACATACACGAAAAAAAAACATGGATCATATAAGAAAATCGATAAGGAAAAAATAATCTTTACACGATTTAACTGAATATGAAACAATGAAATACGTCATATATTTGAGATTGTATAGGAGTAAGGTCAATGTGTAAGGTAATTATAACTTTTTTGCGCTTTATCAAATTATTAAATTCAGTTTACAGAAATAGCATATTGACAGAATGAAAAATTACAATATTCAGTATTGGACCAAGCGAAATGAATTAATTCTTTACGATAATTAAACATTGAACAAAATTTCATTTCAATGTCAAAAGTACTGAATTTCATTTCGCTTTTACCTAATAAAATTTTTAACCTCAAATATTTTAATATCGTTTTTTTTTTTTTGCATTAACCAATAAAACGAAAAAAAAAAGTTCTTTTAAGAAGTTGCAAAGTTTTGAAGTATTCATTTTTGTGTACCATTAGAATTAAAATAAATAAATGCATTTTCTTTTTAATTAAAAAAATAATGAAATGATTGATTGCAATTCCTATTTTCATCAATAAAATTGTACCTGAAATTAATTATATATTTATTTAAAATTTCATCACTCTGAAGCTCCTGTTACTTTTACATCTATTAGTAAAATTTTTTTTACATTTAAAAATTATTAGTTAAAAAAGAATTACCAGATGTAGCAGCTGCACCAACAAATAAGAATCCAATGACGCTAAGAACGAGAAGTAATGTTATACCAATAAGAAGCCACCGAAATTTCGAAAAGGTACCCACTGGTACTAATACATTAAGCTGTAAACAATTATTTATATGTAAATATTTTATGTTAAAAATTAATTTCACTCAGATTGTAAAACATAAATTTTAACTCGTTTATATATTTTAAAGATGAATAAAAATGTCATTTTAGATTATACAATTTAAATTATAATTCGTTCACATATTCAAAATCAAAAATAAGTCTTATCATAGATTGAAATTCTATCTTATTTACACATTTCAAACTTTATAATGTGTAAACAAATTTTTAAGACATTTTAGACTGGAAATAGGTTTGAAATGAACTGTGAATTTGCTTATCTTGAATTCTAATTTGCTTACATATTTTGTCATCGGAAACTTAGGTTATTTATCTTAAATTCCAATTTGTTTACATATTTCAAAACAAGAAATGGACTTTTTCATCAAGTTATTCATCTTATATTCTAGCTTATTTACGTTAATTATCTCGTATAATTGAGATCTGTTCGATGGTAAGTATCGATTACTTGCCAATTGTCGGGAAATGCAAATTTTAGCATCAGTTTATTTTCTTGCAAATAATTACAGTTAATCATAAAATCGTAAATAAAATGTAAAAAATGTGAGAGTAAAATTTTTGAAGATAACCTGTCAATTAAATTCCAAATTTTGTCAATTCAATTTAATCAGAAAAATATTAAATTCCAAATAATTAATGATATTTTTGTTGAGTAAAAACAAAAATCAAATTGTTGCATAAAATGAAATTTTAAGGGAATAATTTAAAAAAAAAAAACTATCAAATTAATAAAATTTAATAGTATCTGAAATTTTAAAAAAAAATAATTAATTAGAAACAATTGATATCTTTTTAAATTTTTTTAAAAAATACAAACTTGTTCAGCAAATCCCTGTAAGGCACCATCGAAAAGAATGATAAACATGACAGAGCCAAAAATGGAAATGATAAAGGCGAATAGTGAAGCCCATGGAACGTAGTGAAAATATTTCAGACACATTGAAACGATAACATATTGCAAATCAATAAATCAATATTTTATTTCAAATTTAAACTTTCACAGAAATTAATAGCATCTTTGAGTTAGCAACGATTTATCATTAATGTATTATTGCTGAAAATTAATAATATTTGATTGAAATGAATTTATTTAAATCAAATTGCAATATCATATCATAATTTCCATTTAATGTGAAATTGCAATTCAATCATATAATAAAAAAATGATGATACAAAGGAAAAAATTGGCACATAAAATAATTTAGGCGTAAAAATTGAGGTCATTGTCTAAAAAATAAAAGAAAATGACTTGAAATTATAAATTAATACCTAATAATAATATAATATTGACAGATGAATGTCACTCATACACAAAAATTTTAAATTATTTTTGCAACCATTGTAATAACACTAAATATTTTAAACTATTTTGTTCAATTTGATATGAATAATCAATGGTAAACAATGGTGACAGTATTTTTTTTTTTAGGATATAGTTGAACAGTTTCAAACTTTTCATCCTTTTCAAATTTCAAAATGTTCAATCGTCCAAATGGATATTTAAATAAAAAATATCGTCACGAAAATTAAAATTAGAAGTGGGCTTTAAAAAATCACTTAAAAAGATTACAATTTAATAAGCAGCAAAAATCAAATTTTTTCATTTCCAATGTATTCATTGATGTGTTCAAACTTGCTCAATGATCACATAATAATTGCAATCATTAATTGCAATTATAATTATAATTATGGTATTTATTATTATCTAATCTACTATTAACTGTTGAACTAAAGTCAAATATTTTGTTTGCATAATTACATATGCATTAATTATTACGTATATCGTAAATTAGATGAAAGATTTTTTGCAGCTAACAAACAGTTATATCTAATTTAATTAATAGACAAGGTTTAAATGACATATATTCAAAATTGTAAAATTTAGACATTTCTGCCAATTTACCTGTTAAATTTTTCCTTTCACTTCATTGCATTCATTTGGAAATTTATTTTTTCGTATTCAAGAAAAATGAAAAAAAAAAGCATGAAAAAAATAGTTGTTTAAAAAAAAATTTTTTTGTACCATCAATATCGAAAATAATATTCCAAAAAATCGGTAATAAACTGAAATGATTTAATACTATTCGATAATAAAGTCATTGTATGGATAATTGAAAAGATAATAAACAATTTTAGCAAAAGTATTCAAAATGTACAGTGGAACCGGTTTTACGTTTCCCGAAGGAGTAATGATTCATTCATTCATCATTCAATTGACATATTAGCAAATGAAAGCGGAAATTTTAGAATGATGAACAGAAAGGGGAAAAGATAAAAATGGAAAATGAGAAAAGGAATAATGGATAACAAATATATAATCAAATGGAATTATTCCTAATTATCCATTAATGATATTAGGAATTAATCTATCAGTTGCACTTTGAATTTATTATGAAATTCATATAGTATGAATTAACATAAATTATCATTTCAGAGGGAATTAAGTCCTGACATGCATAAGAATTCATCCCAAAAGTTCTTTTTTAAAAATTTTTTCTAACATTTTAAAGTTTGGTAAATTTTCAAACAAAAATTTTTGAATGAAGAAAGTACAGAAAATTTTAAAAATTAGGAAAGGAATGAAAAATGTAAGAAAAAAAAGAAGGAAACATTACGAAAATTTTAGAAACAATAATTTGCACAAAAATAAAACAAAAATACATAATTTTGTGCACTGAAATAATTTATAAATAATGGAAAATGTGAAAAGAGACAATTAAGCATTTACGATGAAATGCATAATAGTCGTAAGTGTATTATCGATAACTAAATTAAACTTTTCAAATTGCAATAACTTTCGTTTACCTGCGTAAACTTTTGATTATTTAGCACAACAAAAAAAAAAAATTGAAAATTAATTAATTAATCTGAACAAATAAAATTGATTGTTCTTGCTTTTTTTTTTTTGCTCTCAAAAATATATTTAAATATTATAAAAATAAAAGTGAAAAATGATTGAAATCGATGATGCTATCTTTCTTTTTTTGTTTTATATGAATTTGATTGCAAATAGTAGGCGTGAATGAAATTTATGATAGATTGAATGGAAAATAAAAAGATTGAAATTGATGTTGTCAATGTGAGTGAGAAT